TGTCCATGTCCGATATGTCACCATGATGCCAGAATTCACCATTTTTCCTGAGGCACTCCACATCTCTCTGTACGACTAGGTTTTGGGACTGCCGGTTTCCCCTGACCACCGTTACCTTCCCAGATTTTATTCAGCACACGAGCCTATCTGCACAAAGAGGCATTCGGTGCAGTAGGCTGTCACCTACCAAATCCCCAATCTTGCATGGGAGGAAGCTCTAGGGAGAGGGTGGAGGCGAGGAAGAAATGGTTTACGCTTCCTGGAGTTTCCTCTTCCTGCGAAAATTGGGTTTACTGTAGGCGGTACGAACCACGTATTGCCCCAAATACTCCTCTTATTAGGATAGACGGAAGTTCGCTCGATGTCTTTGTCGCTGCTACTTGGGCGCACAATTAAGTAAACCAGCTTTCAGCAGCAAATCAATAACTCTTGTCAAAAAAGTAAATATTGCAAATTACTCAACACTCATTATCCAAGGCTGCTTACCTTGGTCGGCGCCGACGACTTTGCGGACGATGCAGCCTTTCTCGGTAACGGTACATCGTCGGCAACCGTCACTTTCACATTCTGATTCTTCTTCCGCGATTCGACGACATCGAGCACAGCGATCAGTGCCACCACCGTCGCCACCAGCACAAACCGAACCCGCATCAAATGTGAGGTGCCACTGTCAGTGGTAATCAATAGATCGATAGATCCGATCGAATAAAAAGGCGAGTCCTAGTTGTGTAGTTGTCGTGTGGACTGCAGTGAGTGGGGAGTGCGTTCGGATACTTGCGTGTGTGCGAGCGCGAGCGTGGGAGAGGGTGAAGAGAGTCGAGCGCCGGCCAGTCGAGGCATATTACAACCTTCCCCCTGGCACGTCTGCACCTCCACCACCACCGATCCCACAACAGACACATAAGCTCAGATCGACCACCGACCCACCTGCTCGACATTTACACCCCTCATGCATGCCAATACTGGTATTGCTGAATATCACTGACACAAGAAATTTTTATTATTATCAATATTAAAAATGTAAATAATACACAAATGATGGGCGATATTTCGTTGACACATGCAATCGAGCATCAAGGGGAACAGTGACCAGTACGAATCAATATTCGAAGGAGATGGACGAACGGGTATGTTCACACACCTCCTCTCGGACTACGAGACGATGCAACAAACACAATAAAAAGAAAAACATAAAGGAGACCAAGTGCCTAAAAACAAAACAAAAAGACTTGGCTACATTTCAACCAAAAACTGCTCTTGATAAACAATGTTTCGTAACACTCCTAATACACGTCTGTACTCCTTAAGTCGGTGGTGTCTACCTACGCCGCCTCTCCCTACTGGAGCTTCTGTCCCGTTTACGCTCTGCGCTGCGCTCTTTGCGTGGACGCTTGCGATCGTTTGAGCGACTACGTCGGCGCTCACGGGAACGTCGACGCTCCCGTGACGCACTGCGTTTCCGCTCACGCGACCGGCTGCGTCTACGACCGCGATCGCCAGATCTGCTACGCCTACGCTCACGACTGCGACTGCGACTGCGGCTGCGTTTGCTGCGATCTCTTGACGAACTGCGCCGACGCTCACGTGATCTGCTTCGCTTTACGGTCACCAGAACGACTTCGTTTCCGTTCTCTGAAAATATGAAAGATCACTTCGAATGATTTCCCACTAGGGTGTGTCACTAGTTACAACTGAAACATTTCCAAAAGACTATCAAACTTGAAGACAATCCAGTACACGCTTGTTTCATGTTCACTACTATGTGGACCGGCCTAACTGTTGAAAGACTTCAACCAAAAGAATCCCAAAAAAGCATTTTCACCAAACAGTAAATAGTAAATCAGTGCAATCTATGGAACCTCAAAATAGCGCTAACATTAGGTCTTGTTGTGCCGATGTAAAATGATTAGTAGTTACATCTGCTAAGAATTAGACATTTGGCTAATGTAAGCGATATCATAGTAGTGGTACCAACCACGTTATCGATGTTACTATCAACCAATCCTCGCACTCTAGCCGTGCTATACATAACTATAACAGTGATAAATTGAGTCAGTATGATGCATTCGGTCAATTGTGCTTCTGGTTTCGGTCAATGAAGCCGCAAACTACCGGGAGTAAAGTTCACCTCCTATGTATACACAGCAATGTATCACTCTGAAGCCTTTCGGTTCCGTATCCCATTTCATTTCATCTCGGCCCTTGTGCTCGGGGTGACACCCAGTTAGCCATTAATGATCTCCCATTCTTGAACCCCAGGAGTACGAGTTGAGTCTCTAGGAGCGATAAGACTATTCAGTCGCAGAACTCGGTCGCGTGAAATGGTTCTTATGCATTGTATTCCAAAAGGGATGTGCCACTGACAAAATTCTGAGGGCCGCTTGGGGTGCCACACAGGACCACTAAACAGTTAACAAATCCATGTAGGATCAGAGAATCGGCGTTTAAATAGTAAACATCGACGGATGGGTGTAACGTACGAGTGTACCTGACTCAACCCAGGAAGTCTCTAAGCAATTTTCTGATAAAACTTTTTCCGAATGACATTAAACGCCTCATCAGCAAAGTACTCTAGACCTGACTTGTGAAAATGGCAATTTAGAGCGTGTAAAAACGTGACAGTGTATTCACCTGCTACGAGATCTGCTTCTACGACGCTTCGAATCTGACTTATCAGAAGAACCATTTTTATCTGGATCATTTTTACCTAAACAAAATCGTACCGATAAGTATTAAGGTACTGGAGAATGCCATTAATAATGAAATTCGTAACCAACCAGATCTCCGTAAATTCGTTTTATTTGAATCCATACCATCTCCAGCAGTTAGAGCTGTTGAAGAGTCTTCTAAAGTACAATAGGATCGTTGATTCGATCCCTAACTTTTTAAGAACATGAGGTATAGAACGTGATACTATCTTTTTTGATATATATGCCACAAAACATTGCCATAGCAGAATGACTGCACTATCGGCAAAATGCGAACGAAATTACATACCTGTTGTGCTAGACGTTTGCTTACTACTCTTTCGTGGAACCCCAAGAGGGGTCTTGAATGCGGTGTTATCCTCGCCTGACTCACTCGATGGTGATGGTTCACCGTTGCGATTCTTATTCTTCTTCTTGTCCTCATCATCGCTATCCTCGTCACTCTCATCGTCTCCTCCTGTCATTTGTGAGTTATCGTTGAGATTTCAAAGAAGATGAAGAAGATTAACAATTTTAGTTCAATTCTATAGCAAATTGGAGAGTGGCAACATCCAACATGAAATCCTTATGACTTTTATCAAAAATAACAATAACAATATAACAATCAAAAGTGGGCAAAAGAACGAAACGCGAATTTCGCGCTAGAGTTTTACCAGCAATATTTTAGAGATTACATCAAAAAGAAAAATCAATATCGGTTGCCAGGAGCTAACTGCAAGCGCGAAATTCACGCGTTACAACTCATAAACCGTTTCCAAACATTGAATAAATCTTATCTCTATCATGGGTTGAACAAAATTGCATTTAAATCTAACCACTGCAAAAGTGAATTCTGTAAAAAAAAACCAGTGCCAAATTTGAAAGAGCATATAGCTCTATGTTTAATGCCCGAAATGATGTAAAACAATAAGGTAAAAGCTTACCGAGGCTAGACAAAGCCGCCAATGCGGAACTCTTCGCAAGTAGCTTTGGCTCAGCTAAACGGATGATTTAGAAACATGAAGAGATAAAATAGATAATTGAACCTGTATAAATGTGAAGACGTGACCCGCCTATAATCAAACCCGAGATTTCACCTGTAGTGAAAATTGAGGAACGTTTTCAAGAATACAGCCTATTAAAACAATTCAATCACAAAACAATTCGTAACGAGGAACTCCCATAACCTAGGAACTGATGTGCAATGCACAAAAACTCAGCACTGTTGAGCAACTGTTTCAGCAGACCTTCATGCTTCGCCTCTCGTATACATTCGTTTATGCTTGAGCGAAGAGATCCGTCCGTAGCTTCCATTAGTAACGACATCATTATGAATCTCACAGCAACCATCTAAAAGAATGGAAAACTAATAGATGGCAATTAAACTCCCTCAACGAATCGATTAACATTATATCAGGTTCAACTGTGAGAATGAGATATCAGTCGTTCAGGCATACGACCTATTCACTAGCTCGTTCACTAACAGGGCGACCCTCGGAGCACTGCAAATCGACCCCTGCAGAGAAAGCGTTAGTTCTGGTAATACTTGATTTAGCGAGCATGGGTGTGGTTCGCTAGAAAAGAGACGAGTTTTGGCTTTCTACAGCATGAAAGATTCTTCGCTGTGGGAGCCCTTCTCTCGCTGACCACAAGGGGACCTAGAGTTCCCATAGCAAAAAAATATGTTCGAAAAAATGAAAGCGAAACATCGCTTTTTGTCTTAGCCAACTACAGCCGGTGACCATCACAACATTGGTGACTCTTACCCACAATTTATGACCTCATACAAATTCATGGCCCATGCTAGTTGTTCTCTTATGATACCGCGCAGTTACAGTTTAGCCGGTCTGTGTCCGATCGCACGAAAGTGTGTGAGATAGATGCGTATCGATCCTTCGATCGTCCAACATACCCAATCATGCAATCGTTGCGATCGCATAATCGCGCTCAGTTTTGCGATCGAACGATCGGTTTTTCTAACTATAACTGCGACCTGCTATAAAAGGTTCCTAAAAATGTCAAAGGGCCTTTTGAATGAACCAAGTTTTACATGAAGGAATGACGTAAGGATGAATTATTGGTCATCACCAAGGAAACATATGTATAAACGAGAACGGGAGCACTTAAGATGAAAGGAGAAGTACTTGCATCGTAATCCCGAAACCTCATTCTAAGCCTACTACGGTGGAAGTTGCCAAAAAACAATGTCGATCTGATGGGAATTTAAAATTATTAAGTTATATAAAGCAGTATCACAACAATATGGTAAAGCGGTAAAAAACGTGAAAAGCTGGAAAATGGCAGGAGAAAGTCAGCTGGTCAAGAGACAAGCACTGAGACCAAGCGCAGAAATTGCACATACCGCATCGTCCTTCTTTTCCTCCTCAGTCCGAAGATCTTCAACAGGAAGAACATGCCGTTTCGCTAAGAAAACCGGCTCACCATCGTCATCCTCAGCGCCAACTGATTGCCGTGATTTGGATCGTGATCTTTCGTCATCTGCATGTCCTTCATCTTCATCCTCACTGCTGCTGTCCTAGATGAAAATGGTATTAGGAACGAAAAAGGAGAATAGGCAAAAATATGGAACAATTAAATAAAAAATTATTGGCGACTCATAGAGATAGCTTACGAATCTGCCCTTTCCAGCTAAAGCTCGTCGCTTTGCTCTTTCCTCTTCAGCTTTCTTCATGCGTTCTTCCTTTTCCTGTTGTTTCATCTTCTCACGTTCTGCTTTTTCAAGACCTTCCAATATCCATGCCGGCAATCTTTTCCGGGCGGAAGCGTCTGGAAACGGCTTAATAATGAAGACGAGATAATCTAAGGTGAGCCAACGTATGTGGCCAACAACTTACCCATTGTAAAGAAAGATGCTGGCGTTTGACTGTTTCCAGGCTGCTGAGAATGAGCCATGTTCGATCCACCAGATGAAAAAGAATTTGGCTGATAAAATGGCGGAGGAAACCATGGAGGGGGTCCTGACGAATGTGGAGGTGGTCCGCCCGGTCCAGGTGGGCCACCGTGTGGTGGACCCCTATGCGGCGGAGCTCCATCTGGAGCACCTCCGTGCGATGTATGTGATGGAGCCATAGTTGGTGGGGGACCTTGGCGTGATGGACCTCCCGATGATGATGGACCACCGTGTGGTGGACCTGCTGGTGGCGGTGGGCCCCCGTGTGGTGGACCTGGTGGTCCTAGAGGACCTCCATGTGGAGGTGGTCCTCCTAAAGGTGGACCTCCATGGAACGGCGGTCCACCGGATGGCATAGGGCCAGTAGGTGGAGGGGGAACCCAATTTCTACTTGGTGGAGATGGTCCGGGTGGAAAATCGTGCGGCGCAAATTGATTTGGCGGCGGTCCCGGCTATAAAAATTGCAGGATTGAATAATGGTAGTTGATTAGAGAAATTTTAAAACTTACCGAACGGTGGTAGTCAGAAGGAGATCCACGTGCATCCATCAAAGGCAGAGGGGGAGGAGGAGCTCCACCCCAGTGTCCTCGATAACCATCCTGGTAGTCCTGAGAATTCAATTTTGCAATGTGAACGGCAAGAAGACAAGATAGACACCAAAGGGTTTTTTATTTTTGAAGAATTATCAATAACTCACATGTCGAGCTTCATTTTTAGCCTGCGCAGCAGCCGGGAAAATAGGACGATTAGGGCCCGACGGCTGTGATTGTGATGGTTCCCAGTCGTCTAAATAAACATACTGCTTCAGGATATTAAAGTGAACGATGCTGCAAGTTCCAGAAATTTTAATGAAAAGCATACCTGGATGACGATTGTCGTGCATGGCAAACCCACGATGGTCTCTGTCTGGGCCTCTCTCATATCCTTGATCACGAGCATGATTGTAATGTCCACCCATAGCATCCCTTCCATAGTCGTTATAACCACCATTTCGACCGTAATGATCCGGCGGTCCACTATCGCCTCCGTAATGGGCACCATAACCATTGTATTCACCACCATGGCTGTGATCATCTTGAACTGATCGCATAGCCATCCATCGTTGCGCCAGGTCAGCCCAATTCACTATAAGTATAACTGGTTGGCCAAAAAAACACATTCCATCAGATGAAGACCATTGCTTTTTGAACGTAAACTCCGAAGGTAACATTGTACTTCAACTTATGAAACTCTCAGAACTTCTGAGACAGGAGAAGAGAAAAATTAATCTTCTATTCACTCTTGCAAAAGCTTACGCTATAACTTATGTGACAGCAAAAAGTGCTCTGAACATCTCATTCCACAGATTTTTCATACTCAGCCTTCAAACTTCACCTTCGAACTAACAGTTCCAACGGTAAAGTATATGACATCATTAACTGCTAGAAACCGCCCCAGTCCGTGCAAATGCATCTCTACGTATCCGTGCTCACCTGTTCATGTATTTTTCAACTCTTAATCCTCACTTCCTCGAAGTTCTTTTCATTGTAAACAGAGGACACTGTTTCTCGGCAACTCTAGACCACATCATACTTCATCAGTTAGTGCAGCCATGTTCACAAAAGCGCTAATGAAACACCAGGAAAGAAGCCAGGTTCTTGGTGGTTTTTTCGATGACTGTACTAAAGCCTGACGTTTCACTCACACTTTCGCAAGAGCTCCCGTTACCGCCCTATCTATTAGGTACAATTTTTCTTTCTCAGTCACTTCACCCCCGTTAAAAAGAGCTTTGAAAACAAAATTATGCAATGGAAAGCGCGGTTCTTGCGAAACGCGAATAGCAGTATTCATGGTAAGTCAAACATTCATGGCAAAGGTCTCTTACAAGGGAGGTCTTTCAGGGCAAGGTGCGCTTTTTCAAAACGGTTTTGTGCATATTGTAGGGACGCATGTAGGGAACGCAAAACCATGTTTCATTTTCGCTGAACGGTTATAGCAGTACCAAAAAAGAAGCATAAGGTACTGTTAAGGGTTCGATCCCCCGTGGCGACTAAATTTTGCATTTGGGTTGGCGCCTACGGTTGGTGCCAAATCGCGCTAAATATCAAAATCAGATGTCAAATTCATCGTCAGGACCATTTTGAAGCCAACAAGTGGCCGCCAACCTTGATTGCAAAATTTAGTCGCCGCGGGGGATTGAACCATCAAGAGTATTATTCACCACTTTTTTGGTACTACTAAAACCGTTCAGCGAAAACGAAACATGGTTTTGTGGTCCATACATGCGTCCCTACAACATGTACTAAACCGTTTCCAAAAAGCACCTTGCCCTGAAAGACCTCCCTTGTTAGATATGATTAATTGAAACTGATTGTACCTATTGTCGCTGTTTACAGAGTATACAGCACCAGCTCTGTACATAATTCATACATGATCAATTAGTCCACAACTTTCAAGAAAGATGATTCAGGAGAGTCATCTCTCAAAAAACCACTGCTCCGTAGATCCAATCTAAATCCGCCTATGCATCTGCAAGTCAACCCCTTGTACGTGAGCTTCTCAAGTGGTCGTCTACGTGTTAGTTAGGACAACCCCCACGGGATTTAGTCACATGGTGTCGTCTCCTCTTTCACAACCGGGAGGAACATGCTCTCAGATGGGAACACAATACATCACAGTTTGCACACCCTTCAAATCGCCAATACACACAGCGAGATGACTGCCATTGTGCAGGTAGAACACCAAGTCAACAACGGCATCTCACTCACACCATAGTTTTTCGGAGCCGTTTTTTTACACGTGACCTTCTGTGACTCTACAAAAAAAGGTGCTGTCGAAAGATCGAATTCGTCCTTTGTGATCCATTTGTGAGAATCCTCTCACATTAGTTTTAATCTCATTCACTTTGTCGTATAGCTATCTTCTCTTGAATATAATTCTCCTTCCACTTTAAAATTCTGACCACAATAGTTACACACTTCATTTCTCGAGAAAAACGTTACCTTGGTCTGGTGGCATATTTTGGTAGCCACTCCAAGGATCCATGTCCTTGAGTTTTGATCTCTATTCAGCTCTGCCAATCTTTACACGTATGCGTACTTGAACCTGGAAGATGTTTCCTAAGGACGATTTCCGCGATTCATTAGCAGTGTTAAGGCGTACGAAAATGGAAATACTTTCAGTGGTTGGTACATAAATAATATAATAAAAATAGAAGTACAGCTAAGAAACAACTAAGAACGTTCAAACCCACTGCGCGTTGATCATGCGGGCGGGGTTCGCGCCCCGCTCCTGAAGAAGTTTCACTGGTCCGCCCCTGTTATTGATACAAAGAAGTAAGACAAGATGGTAAAATTAATTAGTAAAGAGCAGTTTTGGGCAAACAAGGAACCCCCGTAGGAGCGTGGCGCAAACTCAGCTCAGCCAATCAACGCACGCTATGAATTTCAAGAGTTCTCGTTTCAGTTCGTTTGTTTTCTTTTCGTTACCAGTTAGCTAATCAGCGTGACTACTCATATTGTAACGCAACGGTTCACACCCATACAATCGTGAGGAGTACCTTCGAAATTTCGGTAAAAATCTAACGAATTGCCACAAATGTGACGACGAAAACAAAAACCAACACCACATACACAACAAGAAAGCACTGAATAGGGGAATAGGAAAAAAATCTCGTATGACATATGTATGACAAATCTCTCGAATTTTTGAAGTGATCACACCAATGTTAAAAACCTACTTGCCTATAAGTTCCACTTTGCAAAGGCTACCTCACAATGCGAAAATGAACGTCGCCAATGGCGCAAATTTTTACACTTTTTTTTATCTGACAAGCATGCTCGTACCAAATTCCCTCTAAAAATGGTTTTTACAAAAAACAGTTAGGCTGGTGCACAATTGGAATAAACGGTCGTTTCGACGCCTATTTCTGCCGCAACTCCTTTGTGCACTTCTGTCGACAGTTCAGAAACGGCATGCTCGACTCTTCTGAACAGAATCGTAGGCGTGGAGATGCGCTATGGCCACGCATAACAGCAAGTCCGTACTCCCTCGATGGCCATGCGTGACCACGAAGCATTGCTCTGCCGCAGGAAACGGTCAGGTGGGTGGGGGAGGGGGAGGGAGGCTAGTGAGTCTATCCACCCCTATTGTTATTGTGCCTTGCGACGGGCGAACGAATAACCGAGTCTAGCGCTACAGCTTCCATCGGGATTCAGAGAAAGCTCATCAATGAAATGATTTATTGGTCTGCTCTTGTATAAGAACAAATGGCTCGCTCGAAACGGCTCCAGCCTTCGTTTGTCGTTTTTATAAGGGAACTAAAAAAGCGAGATGAGCCCAGCTAACGAGAAGCACTTGGCTATAGAGACAGTACAGCTATTCAAACCTCACCCTTCATAATACAACAGCTATTTGAGACTAGTGACCTTTACTAAGTTAGTGATAACGTTGAAATTCGAGAATTCAACCCAGATGAGGTCAGGTCCGATAAAAAAAACATCCAGCATCATAACATACAGCTTTCAATTAAATTTGCTCCCTTAGCCGCGACTACGCCTCCCAACAAAAACTACAACTGAATTCGAATAACTTAAATACATGCCTGACAAGGTAAAACTTTTTTTCAAAAAAATGAGGTGTTCCTCACTGACAATTCAATTTACGAAGGAATGAAGGGAAGCTCAAATGAGCACAGATCAAAGACCAGCTTTCTTTCTTGTTTCTATACCATTCGTTGTTCATTACTAACTGGCTGTACTACTAGGAAAAAATTACAGTTCCTCCCTAGAAACAACAGAATGATGCAACAAGCAGTGGGAAATATATTTGTCGTAATGCTTAAAGTAACACGTACATCTTCTCTCCTCTATTCCGAGTTAATACGGAATTAGGTGAGGTGCCGTCGCGCAGAAGGCAAACACTGGTGCTTCTCTAATCCTGTGTCGCTGCTTCGTCAAACTGCCATCACCCAACGGAACTCGCCACCGTCCCAGTTTTCAATCACCTCACCAATTTCGCCTTGTTCAACCATTTTGTTAGCGCTTATCACTCCCCGTGACCCTGCCCACTCCCATGCCGTAGCGAGTCACGAGTATGGGTAGACTGTCAAATCCCTTTTCTTCGAATCCTGGCTGACCTTTTGAAGAAGCATGAGTCTACCGGAATTATATATTACCACAGCTTTACATACTTCAACTGAACGTGTTACAGAAAGTAGCCGAGACATCTTCTTCTGCATGAAAATGATAAAACTCCCGTTTACCCCCATCTCTCCAACCAATTCATTTCTCTAACTGATGCCGCACTTTTCGTTATGCCGAAAATGATTCGTCACTTGTGTTAGAATCAATCCAATCCAAGTTTTATTCGTTCATACCTGTACTTGAAAAGTTGTACTTCAAGCTGCCACACTATCACTTACAGCATTTAAATGTAAAAGAATGAGCAAAACCGAAGACCATTTTCGATGTCATGAGTAAAAGTCAATAATGCGATTGCGAATCACCGAATCGAGCGATTCAAAAGTATAAATCCCTTAATAATGCATACTTAATCTACAAAACTGATTACTTGACAGGAGAGCTTCACTTGTCAAACCGGGACGAAAAATGCCAATATGGCACAAATATTCGCTGTGAAATACTACAAAATAACAGTACTTGCGCTACATAAATGTATCCCCAGGAGGGCCGAATCATACTTTTCGATCGTACGTTTCTTTCGTGACTTCATACCTGTCGACCACAGTGTTGAGTAGATACGTATCGATCCATGGTCGACACATATCTACCTCACAATCAAATGCAAACCTAATGTGAAGTACGAAAAGACCTGCAAACGAGTGAACTATGGCAGAACGCCGTCTTATGCTTGTCCCTTATGCTTTTTCATCACTAGTCAATAATAAAATAGTCTAGTTATAGTTGATAAATTTACACTTATAAAAGACTGGCTCCCCCACTTTCTTCACGATTTGGGGCGCGGCCGCGGCAAACCCGCGGCGTTCGCGGCCGAGTAGTGCGGCATCAGCTTGCCTGAGTATTCGACGTTACATTACGTGTCGTTACGATCGGATGAACTAACACGTAATGTAACGTCGAATACTCAGGCAAGCTGATGCCGCACTACTCGGCCGCGAACGCCGCGGGTTTGCCGCGGCCGCGCCCCAAATCGTGAAGAAAGTGGGGGAGCCTAAAAGACTTATTGTTTCATTGGTCCCAGAGCGTACATAGACGACCTTGAAGAGTAAAAAGCCGAAAAATTAGCAATTCGGGTGTGGACAGAAAGCGGATTTTTTGCGTTTCGCAGCGCGAAAAATTCGCTTTCTGTCCTAGTGAAACCACACCCTAGCAATTTTACGTGCGGCCCCATGATGGCTAGGTGCATTACGTGATCCCCGAGTGCCGACTTTCACAGTTCTTCATGCTCGATTTTACTTGCTATTTCGTAAAAGCGTTGACACATGCAAGTTGTGAGCGAGAAATGAGATTGGAAAACGAGAAAGAAGACCTTGAACAAGTGAAACCATATATTTGTTTACTGCGGAAAAATGCATCACATAGATCGTATGGATCATGAGAATGAAGAGCTTTGATAGTAGAGTCGGCGTTTGAGATGGCCACAAAGATAACTGAGAGCACCGTCTACCATTGGGTTCCTTCCTCAACGCTGCATTTCATCAAGCTTTGGCAGAATAAAAACACCGCCTATTTCTTCTCACCCCACTACGCACAGCGTAATAATGACAAAAGGTGAACATCAATACGTAGCCTCTCGGGAATTTATGACTGTCTACCAGAACGGTGGAACATCAGCGCGTGAGCTAGTTAGTTCTCAAATTTTTCTTAAAAAGCCTGGTTCTCTCTCCTCGATCATTAATGCCTTCCTTTTCAAAATACTTCTCCCAAAATCTGTCAAACTCCAATTAATGCTTCCAGTTCGCCGCAGCGCAAAACCATTTACTAAAAATGGATGCAGGTGCGCCCAATGACGTACTAACTAAAGCATTTTTCTCAGAAAAAAACCTAACGCAGTTTAACAAACACCCAACTTGCGCAGTCGTTGTTCGCTGTGCGTCTCGTTCTGAACCTTGTCTTTATGTCAATGGTTTTTTGCGACTCTCCTCTTCAAGAGCGACATGGCAATGCGATTTTAATCTTTTCTAAAACGACCGCCTCTGCACTCTTCTTTCAATTACGTCTAACCCTCGTTTACACCAATCAATAGGATGTTTTACAGCGAGAGAAGGAAGTTCAATACTGAACTCCGTCATTCGCGACCCGAATCCTATTATCAAGTAGCATCATTTTCATGGACAAGTGCGACCCGGTGTGATGGCATACTTGACCCTGTCCTCGTTTCCTAATTTTTTGAAGAACTGCGGAGTCGAAAATACCCACCTGAGGCTTTGACCTCGTTCAATCAACTCTCTCAATACCCAGTACCCCAATAATCTAAGGCAAAGCCTGTTGTCCAAAGGGGAGGGGTTAGGTAGTTGCAACTATGGTGTTGCTGTCAACAAAAGTAAGCATGCCTAAATTTATTACATATGCTCAAGCTCTCAGGATAGCTAAAATAATTCAGGCGGGTTTGTTGAAGTAAGGGGAAGCAATTACAGGATGGCGTAAGGAGAGATACATATCAGAGAACGAGAAAAAATGAAAAATACTCGAATGGGTATTAGAAATGAAGCTATTGCTACAAAAGAAAGCTGAGCTGTAGGTTTTTCTATGCTTCTAGTTGATTTAACGAGGTTGAAATGCATGGTTTTGTCATTCGCTTGAAAGCTTTGGCATATTTCGACACGCTTTCCTTTGTTAGAAGTGTAGCGCCTTAGGCTGATGTCATATTTAAAAGAATTCAGTGCTATCGCAAGATACGGGACCACTGTAGTGGTACTGCACTTGAAATCACGTAAAACATCCCCTTTTTGTTAAAAAACAGAAGTCGGGCAGGGAGGAAAAATTCCAGGGTGCG